TCTATGAAACTATGATCCAGGGTGTTGTCCCTGATGGCCATTATGTCATCTTCCAACTCGAGTATTCCATGATGGTATGATCCAGGTGTTGGACCTGAAGCACCAAGTGGGTGCAGCTAAATATTGTGTTCAGTTTTGGGGACCAAGTTTTAAGGATGATTCAGGTGAATTATAAAAGCGACCAGCAGAGGGCGAGAAAAATGATTCAGTATTTGGAAACAGGAGAAACAGAGAACTGGGCATGCTCAGCCTTGAGAACAGAAGACTGAGGGGCCACATGAGATCCCTCAGTAAGTGCCTCAAAGGCGCTCACAAAGAGGAGGATCAAGGTCTCTTCTCGATGATGCCAAAGGGTAGGATGCAGAACAATCCATTCAAGCTGTAGCAACCCAGATTCAGGCTAGATACCAGAAAAAGTTTCCTTACTATTAGAGCAATACAGCAGTGGGACCAGCTGCCTGGATGGGTGGTGGGTTATCCCACACTGGGGACATTCAAGGACAAACTGGGAAGCCATCTGAGATAGTGGAAATTGGTGTCTTGCAACAGCAGGGATTGGATGTGACGGCCTCTCTGACCCCTTCCAACTCCACTATTCCATGATCGTATGACCCAGGGGTTGGACCTGATGCCCTTCATAGCCCCTTCTAACTCCTGTATTCTTGATGTCATGATCCTATGATCCAGGGGGTTGGACTTGAGGTCCTTCATTGTCCCTTCTAGCTCTAATATTATTCTCCGATTCCTCATTGACTGTTACCCTCCAACAGCTTCCCCATCCAGCCACAAATTCCATCCTCTTAAGGCACCTGCAACGCTAAACCCGGGAGTATGGAATGGGCTTCCACGGGAGGTGGTTGAGGCCCCATCGGTGAGGGTGTTCAAAGATAGGCTAAACATGTACATGGTGGGCATGTCATGAGCGGAGCCGGCTGGAGCAAGATGGCCCAGGTCAGACAAGATGGCCCAGGAGGCCCCTTCTGCCTTGCTTGGTTTCTATGTTTTTATGAATGGAGCCGGCTGGAGCCAGGGTCAGACTAGATGGCTCGGGTCACCCCTACTGCCTCACTCTGCTTCTCTGTATGGTCCCAGAGACCCATCCTGTGTTGGGGCAGCCCAAACCCCAAAGCGGAAGGTGCTGAGATTTCTAGGGTGTGGAATTCCAGAGGAAGCCTGCATGGCTGCAGGCCAAGTCCCAGGCAGCACCGCTCTGGGGATCCGTGACGCGGCTGGAAGCAAACGGGGTGAACTGTGAGGGGCTTCGCTCCTGCGGATCGGGCACGCCAAGCCCATGCGCTGTCCGGGCAGTGCCACACGGCCCTGGGAGAGCCACCTGGGTGGCCAGAGGCGCACCTGAGCAGGCCCCGCTCAGCAGACGAGGCGACTGGGGGCGCAGGAGGTGGGTCGGCATGCCACAAACACTCTGAACACTCTTTTCTTTCCATTGCCCCCAAAGTGCACTCTTTTAATATATAAACAACATAACATACATTTTCTGGTCTCCCACTGAACAGTTATCACAACATGTTTAAGTTCTTGTAAACCACTTGGAAAGCGGTCATGAAAAAAAATTTAAAGCAGAAACATAAAGCGTGCCTCAACTCCCCTTTCGGGCCACTGGCTCGTTGTAGGGAGGCCAAGTGTGGGTGCAGCGGAGGGAGAGCCGGGGGGGGGGGAGGTGTGAATGGCCACCGCCCTCCCCAGGAGGCCGG